GAAACAGGTTTTATAGACACCTAAAAAAAGAAATAAATGTCTGAATTGAGCCGTCTCTTGTTCTAAGATATGCTTGACTCTTCTGTCATAGCAGGCTACTGACTTGATCATTTCAACCTTCGTAGTATCTAAACTGGAATATAGTTTGCTAAGTTGTTTAAATAATTCCATATCATAATACATTAGATAGGCTTTCCTTTATATAGCACTTAGAAAAAATAATTTACATACCATAAATTTCACCAATTTTTACTAAATTTACAGAATTGTGGGACCATCACTACAAACCAAGTTTAGAACATTTTCATCACTCTATGGAGATCACTTGTACCCATTTGCAGCCACCCTCTATTTTCACTATTAGCCTCAGGTGACCATTCATCTACTTTCTTTCTCTATAGATTTGCCTTTTCTGAACACTTCATATAAATGAAATCATTTATGTGGTCTTTTGCAGACTTTTCACTTTGCACAATGTTTTTGAGACTCATCCATGTTGTAGATGTCTCTATCAGTACTTCATTCCTTTTTATTGATAAATAGTATTCCATTACATGGATAATACTATATTCTGTTTGTTCATCAGTTGATGGACATTGTACTGCTTTTAATTTTTTTGCTATTGTAAATAGTGCTGTTAAAACATTTGTGTACAAGGCTTTTGTGTGGACATTCGTTTTCTTGGGTAAATAGCTGGGAGTGGAATTGCTGGGTCACATGGTAATATTATGTTTAACTTTTTAAGGAACTGTCAAACTGTTTTCCAAAGTGACTACCATTTTACATTCTTACCTCCAATGTATTAGGGTTTCAGTTTCTCCATATTCTTGCTAACCCTCATTTTTGACTATCTTTTTGATTATAGCCATTCTAGTGAGAGTGAAGTGGTATCTTGTTGTGGTTTTAATTTGTATTTCCCTTATGACTAATAATGTAGAGCATTTTTTCATGTGCATATTGGCCATATGTATATCTTTGGTGAAATATCTATTCAAATCTTTTGCCTAGTTTTAAATTGGGTCATTTGACTCTGTATTATTGATTTGTAAGTCATTTTTATATTCTTGATACAAGTCCTTTACTAGATACATGATTTGCAAATATTTTTCCCCATCTGTGACTTGCCTTTTTCTTACAGGCGTGATTTTTAAAAGTGTCAAAGTTTTCATTTTGTCTAATTCAAGAGTTTTATAGTTTTATCGCTTATGTTTAGCACTGTGATCCATTTGGAGTAGATTTTTGCAGATGGTTTGAGGAGGCTTTACTTATAAATGAATAGGTTGGATTTGGTAATACAGAAGAACATTTTTATAGTAATAGTGCCTGAGGGCTCATATTTTTTTAATCACCTGTTTTACCTATGAGTAAGATAATAGACTTGACTGAAAAGTTTAATTTACTCCATAAACATTATTATCTGTTGTAATTTAGTACTTTCATTGAGCAAGTATTTGAGGATAGAATTAGCTGAAAATAATATTTCAGTCTACATTTTATTTTATTTATTTATTTATTTATTCTTCAGGATAGAATTAGCTGAAAATAATATTTCAGTCTACATTTTATTTTATTTATTTATTTATTTTTTCTTCTAAAAAGATGACTGGTAAGGGGATCTTAACCCTTGACTTGGTGTTGTCAGCACCATGCTCACCCAGTGAGCT